ATCAGCAGTAAATCTCCATCCGAAGGCCAGAGGGCGCTCTCGTGCTAAAACTCCAAATACGCCTTGCAGAAGAAACCCAGGAAATCCCTATAGCGGTTGCTGAATAAATAGAAGATTTAACTGCTTTCATTTATTCAACGTGACTAATAAACACACGACTATGACGATATATGGTTTATCAGAGTTCGTCTTATTATAACTTTTATTATAATAAAGTATATAATAATGCAATGCTAATCGACACAGCCTTTATCACTGCTTAGAATACTATGAAATATATTGTGTGCCTTATTCTGTGTAAGAAGCCACATCTCACAGAAGGATTTATTTCAAACACTCGACTGAAGTTATGAAGTGAGTTGAGTAAAAGCATGTTATTAAATGTGGTATTTTCACGTGCTTTCAGATGGAGCAGCATTTACTACACAGAGCCATAGTTCACTGACAAGCTACGCAAACAGCTTTCATAATCGCAGAACGATTTCTTCGATTTCATAATCGTGAAAGTTTTGCATAGCTTCTCAGTGAACTACGGCTCTGTGTAGTAAACGCTGCTCCACCTGAAAGCACGTGATTGAGATTTACTACTAATCACAGAACCACCTTTACTGACAAGATGCGCATGACAATCACATTCGATTAATCGTGCAGCCCCATGTTGGCATATTTTCTATATATTTGACAATTTATTTGCACGCCTGAAACCCCAAGTATACTTTGCTTGTTCGTGTTCAGCTCCGCCTCGGAGCATGCGCACAGAGCGCGTCTGAGGAACAGGCTATTTCAGTTAATGCGCTTTTAATAACTTTTAAAAATAAAGCATGTCCCACAGTAAACAGCCTTTTACGACAGTAATGTTACATGATTTGACTGATTTGGATGTTAAACTTTTAAGGACATGCAACATGAGGGCATAAAAGCTCACAACCTCTACAATTCGCTTGAAAAGTAGATCATAGACGTCTTCAAGATCGATCACTAAATAAAATCATCAGATCGCACACCCCTACTTTAATGTTAGGATTTTAGCTCACTTAAAAAGCACAATCATCCGTTTATTGAAGTATCACAAACTACCACCACTTCTGCGGCTAAAATAAGTGTAATTTGCATCTGGTAAATATTGCTTTTCACATGATACCCAAATCATCATCTGAAATATATTTAGTTAAATAAGTCTGAGCTGAGCTATGTTTCATATAAAAATAAAAGAATATATATAATATTAGCACATAAAATATTGTATTTTTGTTGAATTCTTCATCTTGCTTCCTGTTTTTGTTTTTATGTATCTACTCCATTAGCTTCATACCGCATAGTTGTTTGCCAAGTGATGTTTCTGGGTAGAAACGGTTTGTTCCAAGTATAAGCATATTGCCAGGAAATGCTTGTTATCTTGTGTATCAGAGATGGATCCACAGAGCTTCTCTCACTTCTCCTTTTTTCATATCTGGTCTGTCGCCGAGACATTATTGAAACATTTCTGCTTAAGGTTATACTAGTGCTGATTAACCTCACTGCTCAGTTTCTGGGTATCCGAGCACATGATATCAAGACTTAATGACCCAGTATTGCACTTTGTTTCATAATCACTGTGGTTAGCACTTGCAATGTGGTTGTTTGTCCATTATGAGCATTTAAATGCAGCTCAAGACCGCAGTCTAGTCACCAGAGGTCCATGTACATCATCTCATTGCTGCCACGAGCAGAAAAACAGTAGGATGCCGGATTCTAAATGAGCAAATAGACGTCCTTAAACACTGTTCTACAACTAGTGAGCCCTAACCATTTTAAATAAATGAATTACTGCATCAATCCTCTACAAGACCAATGAGGTATATGGAGAGAGCAGCTTTACAACCACCAACTGCCTGCTCTGGGGACTAAACTAGAGCTAAAGGGGAAATAACGTTTTTATAATTCACCGACACCAGTTAGACAGCCTCTCCTATGAGAAATCAGCTTTAGCCATTAGCAAGAACTACCAGTGTCCCTGCTCATTCATCACAGCTAAAACCAATATCAGATACGCCATTACAGAGGCCATTAGGGCTCCGTGACGCTGAAGGGACATTTTAGCCTGACATTGCCGTTGGAGCCCTGTGCTTTGTTAATAGGTTGTTGGTGTTGTGCTTGCATGAATGAAACTGCAAGGTATGGGTTACCTTATGACGGTTTCTGTTCATTGCGATTGATAATAAAGTACCATGGTAGAACTAAAAAATGCCATATGATCATAGCAACACAGACTTTTTATCCCATTACAGCGGCAGCTCCGGTGGGAGACACAGATGTGATATAAACGAATTCAAGCAAAAATGAAACCATGTTTACCTCACAAACAATCAAAAATTCCACGACTGGCTCTTCTTCAGATATGCGCGTTGTTCTCGGGTACTTCTAAACAAGACGCTGTTTTTATATCTTCTGGTCTTATTTAATGCTGCTATATGCTGATAACCAAGCATGTAATTATACGCCTTCAGGCTTGTATTATTTTTTACAATGAAACAAACAAGCAAAACGAAACAGATCAGAGACATAAATCTTTATTATTAACCAACTATCCCATTCTATAATTAAAACAACCTGTTGCTCGGTAAACTATATATGTAGGCCTATTGTAGATAAATTCCATAATTTTATTTATTTTTTTGTAAAAGAAAATGAAAGGTTGCAGTAATTGTTACCTCAATTGTTTACATATTTTTAATTTAGGTTTTAATAATTATTTATGCAAAATAAATGTTCATTTAGTTTCACCGATTTTCTGCATGTCTCTCATTTACTGTAATTACATTTATTATATCGGCCTCATATCGGCCAGACTGATTTCTCAATATCGGCATCGGCCATTAAAAATCCCATGTTGGTCGACCACTATTTGTATGGTTTTAAACACTTAGCAACATTTACATTAATGCATTTAGCAAACACTTTTATCTAAAAAGTGATTTACATTGCATTCAAGGAACACATTTTAATAGTAATTGCTATCCCTGGGAATTGAAACAGTGACCTTGCTGATTATGCCATGGTCTTCTGTTTGAGCACCAGGAAGGCTAAAAACTGCCCATAACTGTCCTAGATAAAACTATCCTAAACTAGAACCATTTTGTAAGTTATATGTTCCAAATAAAATGTAAATTATTGTGTGATAGCTTAGTGAACACAATAAAACCTCACTAATACATTAATAAATATACATTTAATAAAACGCACACACTATATTACATTTACATTAAGTCATTTAGCAGACGCTTTTATCCAAAGCGACTTAAAAATGAGGACAATGCAAGCAATCAAAATCAACAAAAGAGCAATGATATGCAAGTGCTATAACAAGTCTCAGTTAGCTTAATGCAGTACAAGTTATGGCTGTCAAAAAAATTTCGAATTTAAAATATTCGTCGAATTTAAAATAAAAATCCACATTCGAATGAGAAAACGTTGCATTCTAATTTTAGGTGTGTGTTAAGGAGACAGCCCTATCAGTGGCGCACGAGATGCGATGACGATGTAAGTGTCATTGCATTTTAATGTTTTTGTCAGCCTATCCAGCTGAAGCCACTAGATGCGGCCTGCTGCCTTGTTAATTACAAATATTGCTGGAAAAGAGAACATCAATGTGGAGAAGATCTTGTTTACGTCAAAACTGAAACCAAGCCGTTCGCATATTCACACATATAACGCATATTTCACGCATTTTCTAGAGGGACATCTGTCACCGTTGCACTCGCGTCTCGCACAAAAGAGCCGCATGTTTAGAAAGCCATGTAAAATTAATGCAAGTTCAACAAAAACATCTCTCGAGGATTTATGGCGGGTTTTTCCCCATCCCACTGCAACTTTTGTTTTTAAATGAAAAATGTACTGTGTGCTTGGCTTTCGACCCTTTGTATTAAACTATGCATACATACATGATGCTGTTTTGTTTATAGTCGTTTAAGCAACTTAATTATAAACTGGTTTATAAACATTGATTATATGCACTTTTTTTCACAGATAGTTGTTATCTTATGCTTTGAATGATGCGCCCTCTTGTGGCCTCAGAAGAGAAGCCAAAAGCTTTTCTTCACCCTAACTGAAATTATGCATTTTAAATTCGAATATAATTCGAATTTTGATCATATTTAAGTACAAAATTCGAATTTAGTTTGTCAGCCCTTTTGACAGCCCTAGTACAAGTAGCAAGGTTTTTCTTTTTAAATCATATAATAAATAAAAAGAAAACAGATAGAATAGAAAAAGAATAGAGCAAGCTAGTGTTAGAGGCCTTTTTTGCTTTTGTTAATCAGAAGTCAGAAGACAGAAAGTCAGAATTATAATAGTATAATAAATAAAAAGAAAACAAATAGATAGAATGCAAAAAGATTAGAGAAGCAAGTGTTAGTTTTTTTTTTT